TTCCTTTCCTTTCCTTTCCTTTCCTTTCCTTTCCTTTCCTTTCCTTTCCTTTTTTTTCCTTTCTCCTTGCTTCTCTGACCCTGGCGAGGTCGAGTGTACTTCAAGACGCGCGAGTATCGATTTCCACTGTGTTCTTACGTGGAGGGTACGTGAACCGAGACCGCCGGCTCTCTCTCTATGTATTGCTCCTGAGTAAATCAAGCATCGTTTCATTCATCTCCCTGTCAAAATTTCACGCCTCACCAATCAATTTCAGAGAAGAGATGATTTGTATAGGATAGCGGGCTAGATTGTACGGTTGCCCGGGGGTTAAGTTGGACTTTTTGGAAATTTCATTGAATATGAAGATTAATTCAAATGTGGATATATTTGTATATGCAAGATATATCGAGAGTTTGGAGCTTACGTCATTAGTAAGCATAATATTTTATAGATGTTAGGTGTCAAAACATTTCTTCAGATTCAGATTACGTCAGAAGAGAATGTTATCGCAGATAAAAATCACGCTATTAATAAAAATTGATCGAACTCGTGTGTAAGCTCTGCTCTTCATTCTGTTCAGAGGAAGGCCAAGTATCAAGAGGCGAAATTGAAGGCATTGAAAGCAAGAAACGAATATATCTTGTGTCTCGAGGCATCTAATACGACAATACACAAGTACTTTGTGGATGACCTTTCGGATCTCATCGATGTAAGTTCTAGTAATAAAAGAATAAAAAAAGATTCTTCTCTCTACAAAAATCAAAGTATTTAAATGAGTGAAAAATATAAATAATACTTGAAACTTATTCTTTCATTTGCCACATTTATTCTTCCAATAATAAATAAATTTTTTAAAAACTGATCAATCTTAAATAATTATTAGTGAATGAAAAATCAATGCAATTTAGTATTATTCTACTAATAACGCAAAACATTGCGACAAGTAATTCAAAGAAAATTTATTTCATACTACGCTACTGAACTTTACTGTTCTATTTATTATAAAAAAGCGAAGCTTTTTAATATAGAAAATATTCGAATATACATTTGGCATAGGATCTGTGAACTTAAAAGAGCATTAAACGGGCTTCTTGATACCGTACACATGACTCAATAGTGGGTCACTGAATCGGTTTGAGTCAACTGAAAGTTCTAATCGCCTTTTTTAATTATTGCTTTACTAAATGATTGTTGAGTAAGGTGTATATAAATCTCCTTGAGAAAATTGTGTTTACTCGTTCTAATAAAAATCTGATTATTGTTCTTTTAGTCTCTCAAATTGCATTTTAATTTTCTTAAAAATAAATACAATATTTGATTAGGATTTTTAATATTTTTATAATAAAAGAAATTCATATATAATATGGAAAATTTTCTTCCTTTTATACTACTGTGTATTATGGCATGATTTGACACTAAAGATATCTAAAAACTAAAGATTCTTAATGATATTTTTCTAGTGTATGGATTTTGGATTTCACAACTGCATCGCCAGAGCATTGCTGATGCATTGTAGCGCAGAAGAAGGTAGGCAGCGTTCACTGCAATCTGGTGCTGAACAATTAGCTGCGTGTGTTGGTGCTCTAGACTCGAGAGCAGACAAACAAAGGTTTCTGGAATCTCATCATTCTGCTTTTATGATTCCTAAGAAGTTCGAATTCCAAGGACAACGAGGGGACGAGGTACTTGAAGTACGAAAACTGCTCTTCTTTTAATCGCTTCTTTTAATCATCATTGATCACGTTTGTACAACTTAGATCATGAGAGAACAAGTTTATAATTGATTGTAATTTTTCACCCTAATTTGAGCTAAATTATCGCATTCCTAAGTTCATTTTTAAATTTATCCTGTATAACAATTTACATCATTATTCTTCATCTCATGATAAATGATAAAAAAGTATGCAAATGGTATCTTCAACTTTCATTATGCTTTTAATACTAATTTACTTTTAAACATTATTTTTATAGACTCCTGAACCGGAACTGCAAAAATTATTACACGCTGAGATGGAGCAAAGATTGACTCAACTGCAACAAAGATTAACGTCTCTAAGAACAGAATCCGAAGAAGTTTGGAAAACCTTGGAAACAGCGGAAGCTAGCCTATTGGAGATGTTAACCGCGAAAGACTATGATTGTTCTAGATATTTTGGAGAGAACGCTGTTCCCACCTCAAGACCACCAGAAACCGTGCAAATCAAGCTTAGAGCAGACAGACAGGAAACTGAAGAATTCTACCTCACGGTGAGTTTGACTGGTTAAAATAAATACTTAATCAGATGGAGTAAATGAAACATTAATTTTCGTAATTTAGCTATCTATTACCAAATTTATTGTGTAGTAACATTAGCTTGAAACATTTTCACAGAAATTCAGGGAATACCTTCTTGGAACTTCAAGAATAGCTAGGTTAGACGCAAAACAAGAATATATTCGACAGAGCTTGTTGGATGGGTCTACTGCCAGCCCGAATCCATCAATATCAACAACGAAACAAAAGCAAGCTCGAAGGAAACGAATCGGTAGACTGCAGATAAACGGCCAACCAAAGTTATTCGGTGGTTCGTTGGAAGAATATTTGGAAAGCACCAATCAAGAGATACCTTTAATCATGAAAAGTTGCATCAGAGTGATCAATCTATACGGTCTTCATCATCAAGGTATCTTCCGAGTCTCGGGCTCCCAGGTAGAAATTAACAATTTCCGGGAGTGGTTCGAAAGGGGAGAAGATCCATTGGCTGACGTTACTGACGCGTCGGATATTAACAGTGTAGCCGGTGTGTTGAAACTTTATTTGAGAGAATTGAGGGAACCACTGTTTCCTATTATTTACTTCGAACATCTGATGGAATTAGCACAACTAGAATCAAAGCAAGAGTTTGTTAACAAGATGAAGGAACTGATTTCCAGTCTTCCAAGACCAGTTGTTATAGTAATGCGATACTTATTCGCTTTTCTTAATCAGTAAGTACACTATCAATTGTTAGTTAACTAAAATTTATAATAAGAATATTTAAATTAGGATTTAGAGAAAGAAAAGCTGTTTTGTACATTTTTTGATATTTTGTACGTGTTTGTATCTTGAAAAAAAAAAAATTGAAAAAAATAACTATTAAGAAATCTTTTATTTTAAGAAGAATTTTATTTAAAATTATTTTTCTTTTCTTATAGTCTTTCAGAATTTTCGGATGAAAACATGATGGACCCCTACAACTTAGCAATTTGCTTTGGCCCCACCTTGGTACCTGTTCCAGAAGATAAAGACCAGGTACAATACCAGAACCAAGTGAATGAACTCATCAAGAATATTATCACTTTCTGTGAAGAAATATTCCCAGAAGATATTGGAGGTACTCAATATGAAAAGTACATCAGTAGAGAACCTGACGACGTGTAAGTATATAATATTTTTTTCTTATATTGAAAAAATATTTTATCCGTAATTTATGATTTTTCATAAAGATGAATTTTAAATGCAGAGACGTGGGAGATTCACCGACAGAGCAGGTCCAGGAAGACATGGACTCGGAAGTGTATCCATCTGAGGATGGTGAGTGAGATCAGATGTATAGTTGTATAGTTGCTCGGAATCCAATAGCACGATCTACGTTCGTTTTGTGATTCCCAGAATCGGAAAACCTTGAGGCCACAGCACAATTCGATTTCAATGCAAGGTCCGAAAGAGAGTTAAGCTTCAAAAAGGGAGATACCTTGACTCTATACACACAAGTCAGTAATGACTGGTGGCGAGGTGCCTTGGCCGGTAGAGAGGGGCTTATTCCCGATAAATATATTATGATCAAGATAAAGTAAGTGCGACTCACTCACGCAGTGGTGAATTATTTCCTTCGAGAATGCCTTCTGTTGAACCTAGTGGCTGAATTTAACAATTCCAAAGGGAATGAAATTTGGGTAAATTCGAGTATGCTTGCTTTTTAACATAAAAGAGAAAGCTTCTTTAGATTCCGCTGTTTGAGATGTTTCTTTAATTTAATTTACTCTCGATGAATGAATCTCCTTTTCTTGTTAATTCTTTCCATGTGGATATTTAATTTGTTATTTGATCATTGTTTATGAAAATATGACTTCCTCAAAATAGGATATGTGACTTCTTCAGAAAAGAACTAAATATGAAGTAAGGAATTATGGAGATTTGATTAATTTCAAGAAAATTTCTCCGCAGTCATTAGTTTCATTACTTGTGAATTTTAGCTCACTTTCGCATTATTATTCAGCATAAAGTCATGTATCCAACAGCCACACAAATGGTTCAGAAATGTTTGCGAGCCTCTTGGGGTAGGTAGAATACAAAAGTAAACACTCCTTAACATATTGATGAACTGACCATGATCCCACTTATTTTAACGTAATATTCGTACGCAACATATTCTTACTTTATAAAACAAATAATATTATTTAAAATGTGCTCAATGATGCACTTAGTAAATAACATCATTCTCATAACGTTAACAATAAATTATTGGATTCATAGCGGCACCATTCAAATGCTTGTAATCTCCTCGATAACAATATATTGCGGAGAAATTTTTCTAACATTTTTACGATTTAGGTTTGTTAGACTTGCGTTGAAATTTATTATAATTCATTGCACAATTCTTTCAGATGTGAAAGATCTTTTAATAGATCTACAGGAGTATTTGTCACGCAGTATTGCTTGCCTATTCCCTTATATAATTTCATTTTATAAAAACATTCGTGTTATATCCTTTGTCCAGGGACGAAGAACGTGAAAAAGAACTCCTGAAGTCGTCGAGTGAAGAATCAATGCGAAGAAGGACCTCCAGCTCTGCCGACAGTGTTCTTTCAAGTAACAATTCACCACTGATGGGACCATCTGGAAATTCAACTTGGCCCTCTAATACCGCGACCGATGTGCAGTCAACTACAAATATAATCGCAACAGACAATAGCAGTAACAGTGGTGTTATCCCAGCGGTCGTGACAAATACCCCTTGCATCTCGTCAGCACAACCGATCATCAGTCGAGAGGTACTGGAAACTACCGTTTAGTATCAGTATATCTGTCCGATTTTTTTTTTTGTCTTTCCATATGTCCGTCTGCTTGTACATTTTCTGCGACGCACTCAGAAGATTTTTGAACTTTAAGCACAAGTGCATGGCTGTTGTGCTGTAATTCGTTTCCCTTAAGTGCAGTAGCAGCAAAAGATTGAAATGCACATTACCATTTTAAAGATGCAAACTTGTTGCCTATACACCATACACATTTAATAGAAAAGCAGCATTGCTTTCTTCCGTGGGAACAGAAAATCTGTTACAAAATTCTGTTCTGTTCATTTGAATCGATAGAAGATCATAAATCATAAGTTTTCTTTTATATTTGAGAAAAGAGTCAAATTTTTTACGACAGATTTCCTTGGATTCATAATCTGTGATCTTTTAAGATTCGAAGAGTTTGATTCTCACAGTATAATAAGCTCATAAAATGGATGACGTGTATCTAAGGCTATTGTTAAGTTTAATTTACTTCGAAATAGTACTATTTCAATTAGCTGTAATCATTTGTACGATATATATTTGTAAATAAAGTAGAAATATATACATGTTTGTTGCTGCATGTGCCTTGATCTCTTTGTCTTGTGTCCTTTTTGTCTTGCGTCATGTATATTTTTTTTTCCATTTTTTTT